ATATATATATATATATATATATATATATATATATATATATATATATATATATATATATATATATATATATATATATATATATATATATATATAAAATAATATATATATATATATATATATATATATATATATATATACATATATATATATATATATATATGGGAAAAATACCATATCAAAGCAATCCCAACACCGATATGCATACATAAGCGCATCATACCCCGATATCGAGGAGTGGTTTCTTATTGAATATCTTTGCCAGCCCTTTCCTTTCCATCACTAGAATGTCTTCTCCGGTAGCCAAGTCAATAATATACTTATGCATCGGGCATACTATACAGGTTCGTCCATCGTACTCCTCAATATCTCCATAGTGCAAAGGAGACGAAGCATGCCAGCACTTGTTGTCGATACAGTACACCTTATTCTTTACTTTCCACAATACTATCTCTCGCCCGTTGATCTCAGCTTCAAAGCCCTTTTCTTTGTGCAACTGATCAATGGTTGCTATCCTGTGTTCAGTCATTGTGGTTTCTTGAAACTGTAACGAGACATACGGCATTGATTCCTACATTTACTTGTGAGAATCCGAGATGTATTTATTAACACATAAGCGGACTGACTCAAGGTGACCCCTGTGCATTGAGCTGGATCCCGAGACCCGAGGGCCTTGATGAGACAGCTGACAGGCGTGACTGCTGACACTTGACAGTGCTGAGTTTAGCCGTATTCTTGCCCAAAAAAAATATCGTAGAATTTAGATAGAAGCCAAGAAGAATTTCAAAAGTTCGAATGTCTCTGTACGGCACCAACGAACATAAAACTTTTAACGCCTGAACCTGTGCTGTTTTTAAGTGCGGATGAAGTTGTACCGGATGCGGTTTAAATATACACGGGCTCAGAGCCTCAGAGCCCAGGAGTTAATAGTTTTATATTTATTGATGCCGTATAGACATATTATATATTTTCTTGTAAAAACAAACAATAGACAAACCACTATATTGTTTCAAGAAAAAATATATTTATCACTGTAAGACGTATTTTTTTTAAATCATAATTTAACCCTCTGTACATATTGTTTTCTTTATTTTTTAAAACAAACCAAAAAACCCAAAATTAAACAGAGTTAAAAAAAACCCCTCCCATACATTTTCTTGAAAAAACCGCTAGAGAATTCTCGCTGTAAATAAATACATGTTTTCGCGCCAAAACAGCTGTTTAAGGCTGATTCTAAATAGAAAAACTATCCGAAAAAAACCCCATTCTGTAAAATTTTGAAATATTTAACAAAAATACAAATATTCTCGTCTCTAAGCCAACGGCGAATGAAATGGCTTTATAATCCTATGATCCTATAAATAGTCTTGTGCTTGAAATTTTCGATTTGTCTCGCTCCTATCTCTCTATATCTCTCTCAGAGAACGAGGGGGAAAATGCCCCTGATACCTGAGCCGCGAGGTCGGTGACAAAGGAGAAAGTGGAACGGACTCCACCACAGTAAAAACAGCCTATGGGAAAAGCTCAGAAGTCTTTGCACAATTTATTACTATTAGTCATTTGGAGTTCTATCGAAATGAGGAGCGAGCGATAAGCAATAACTAATAAGTAAGGTCGTAGTAGCTGTAAGTGGATCACACCATCGTATGAGAAGGTGTTCCCCTGTGCACAAAATACAAAACGATATCATAAAAAAAGGGTATCAAGATATATGAGGATACTATCACAGCTAGATAGAATAGATGCTGCAGTTGAATCGGAATAATAGTCAAACAAGTTGTCAATTAGAAAGGTGTATCCGTATCCGCACGTAAACAACCCCTATTCGAAAGTAAACATATTTATTTAGTGATATATCCGTAAATTCTACATCATGAGTGCGCTGATGAAACGGCTCACAAAGAGCAAAACATCCAAACAAAATGACCCGTCAAACACAAACCCCACCATGTCTGATGACGACACCGACTCGATTAACATGGAAGGTAATGTAGAGTGGTTATTTGTGCAGCAGATCTCAGATACTCATAAATCGTACCCTGTTTGTAAGAACTACATATTCCAGGCACGATCTGACGCACGAATATTGTTTTAAGGTGGTTCTATGCTTGGAATATGTATGTGAACTTGTGGGACTAATCCAAAAAAAACATGGGTTCCCTTGTTAAATAGTGTATAGACACATGTATATGGTCTTTACTATACACTATATTAGACCCTCGCGAGGTAGCTTTGGAGATTTAATATAAGTGCAGAATCACTAGTACTGCCTTTGCGATGATAGTCTCATAATTATAGATAGAAATCGCTATCAAAGTTTTGGGCAGGATTCACTCAAATTTACGTATTCATAGTATTCATCAGCAAAGACTTAATGAAATAGAGTAGATAAACTGGTAGAGGGATTGAGCTTAGAGTGTAAGTTCATATCTATGTTCACACAGATCTGGAAGAGGAAGAGGATATCACTGACGAACGAGTAATTAAACTCAATAATGAGACCTTCATGGATGAACAAGGGTTCCCGCTCAACAGAGTGCGGACTACGAAATATACAATACTGACTTTCCTGCCCATCAACTTGTTCGAGCAGTTTCACCGGTATGTACATATGTGTTTGTGATGCGTGCCCATTATTCAGGGTAGATTACTTTTGCATGCAGTATAT